TCTACCTGTACCTTTTTTAACAGGTGCTGAGAAGCATATTTAATAAATCTCTGCATTTTCTTTATCAGTTTAGTTATGACTGCTAATGCTAACACCCCTTTTCAATTCCAGCCTGTGTGCTATGTGCTTGAACCTCTGCATGCATGTGTGGGCAAGTTCTCAGATTAAACACGGTGTAAGACAAGTCCATAAACAAGCCTTCAGGATCATTTAGGGTTATTTTTTCCAGAGTTAGAGGGGAAGCACAAAGGGGGGTTAGTACAGAAATCAGCTGCTCTGTTTATGTAGCTTTCAGTGATGATTACCGGTTCAATCTGTCTGTTTTACAGAGGAAACTGTCACAGAATGGAATGAGATTATGAGTGTGTTTTTTTGAGACCAGGAGAGGCAAATGTTGCAGTTGCACTGGTACAGTGTTTATTTACTCATAATGTTTAACCCTGAGTAAAATTAGAGGAAGCAGAGGACCACCGCCGCCCCCAGACAGAGGAAGGACTGATGGTGTCAGACGTACTGTATGGCCTTGGCGCTGGCCTGCTCCTCCACACAGCAGATGGAGTGTTGTGTGCCTTGTGTCAGTGTGAGCAGCCACACAGTCTGGCAGGCAGACAGAGTTACAAGAGGGGATGTTTATAGGTGAATAAGCAACATTATAAACTGAAAACCTTATTCTTATTACATTACCGGAGTAAGGTTGAATCGTTTGTGTGTCTTTGGGTTTGCATTTAGACCAGTGCTTTAACTTGCACAGCATGGACAGAATACCTTAATCAGTGCAATGTACTCTCACCGGCCGAAATGTCAGGGATACTGCTACAATTTCTGGTTATCTTAAACCACAAATCAGTTATTCCCTTAGCTGCAGCTAAATAGCATATGAACCTTAGTTTAAAGGTGGGACTAACAGAGTCAGCAGAAACAACCAATCAGATAACAAATTTGAAGTAAAAACTTTTATTTTTTTTCACAGAAAAAGAAAAGTTTCTTTTGCAGCCAGTAATTGAAATCTGTAACACCACAATTTCCCCATTGCTAGACAATAAAGGCCTTTCCTATTCTATTCTATTCTATTCTATTCTGTTCTATTCTATTCTATTCTATTCTATTCTATTCTACTCTAAATTTTTAAGATATACCAGCTTATTCTGGACAAAGTGCATTACTACAACATTAGTCCATTGTTGCTGCAGTCTTGACTGTTACGGGTAAAGAAATAATGGGTAACCCTCCTGTGATCGACCCGCTCTATTTTAGACCAGAGAGTCTCTGGTCCGGAAAAAAAGGGCTTTCAACTCAGGGGACAAAGGGGAGCAGCGTAGAGTTCAGCCAGAGCTCCAATGCAGGTTCAGGGCGGCAAAGAAGGACTGTGGGAGACAATGTCAGATGTGTGGGGAGGTCTCAAGAACATCTCTGGCTGTGGGCAGAGGACCAGCAGGGCTGCAGACAGTGACGTCAAGTTTGTAGACAAGTTAAACTGATTTTTCACCCGGTTTGACTTCCCTCACACCAGCCCCCTCCATGTTTTCAACTCTACACGTCTCCAACTTCTCCAACCCGCAGGCCACCAGAGACCTATGCTCCCCTCCTCCACCACTCTCACCAACGCCCCACCCCCTCACACCCTCTGTCCTGCCTCCCTCCCCCCTCACACTCACTTTAATGGAGGTGAGAGGCCAGCTGGTGGGACTGAAACAGAGGAAAGCCTCTGGATTGGATGGGATTCCTCCAAGGCTGCAGAGGAACTGTGCTGATGAGCTCTGAGAGGTTGTCAGCTACATCTACAACCGGATTCTGAGCCTGGGGGTGGTCCTCACTCTCTTGTAGACCTCCCGTGTGGTACTGGTTCCCAAACCACCGCAAGCCAAGGAACTGGCCCGCAGTAGACCAGTCACTCTGACCTCCCACCTGATGAAGACCATGGAGCACCTCATCCTAGCCCACCTGCACACAGTGGTGAGCCCCATCCTGGACCCGCAGCAGTTTGCTTATGGACCTGACATCGGAGTGGAGGAGGCCATTGTCTACCTGCTGTAGCCGGCGCTCACCTACCTGGAGCGCCGTGAGAGGTCGTGTTCTTTTCCAGTGCTATAAACACCGTCAGAGCAGAGGTGCTGAGGGGGAAGCTGGGGGACGCTGGAGTGGAAAGACATCTGGCTGCCTGTACCATCAACTACCTCACTGAACCCCCTCAGTAAGTGCGGCTGCACGGCTGTCAGCCACAGGTGGCAGTCTGCAGCACCGGGGCACACTAGGGCATGTCTCCATTCTTCACCCATTACACCTCAGACTTCACCTACAAAACAGATAACTGCCATCTCCAGAAGTTTTCAGATGACTCGTCCATCGTAGACTGAGTTTCTAAGCTGGAGGATCGATCGGTCATCGTGAACTTTGTGGACTGGTGTGCGAAGAACCACCTGTGTCTGAACAGCAGTAAGACCAAGGAGATGGTGATGGACTTCAGGAGAAGACCCCCACCTCACTCCCCCCGTGAACATCCAGGGCAGGAGATAGAACCTGTGGAGAGTTTGAAATCCCTGGGTGTTCAGGTCAATAATAAACTGGACTGGTAACAGCGACGCCCTGTAGAAGAACGGCCAGAGCCGCCTCCCTCCACCTCCTGAGGAGGCTGAGGTCCTTTGCAGTGAGCAGGCCCCTGCTTCAAACCTTGGTGGCATCAGCCCTCCTCTACGCTGTTGTCTGCCTCTGGCAGCGCAGAGCGGAACAGAAAGAAACTGAACAAACTGGTGAGGAAGGCCGTTTCTGTCCTAGGCTGCACTCTGGACTCAGTGGCTGAGGGGAGGGTGCTGTCCAAGCTTCCATCCATCATGGACGCCACCTTCCACCCACCTTCCACTGCTAGTGTCTCAACCAATCACTATGCAGTGAAGAGTCTCTGTTAATCATACCAACGGTCTCACTAGGGAGTACAAATATGGCGGCTGGTGACTTCAAAGCAATCTGTACTACCAAAGGCCTATCAGCAATCCAGAGAATAAATATAGATCAGTGCTCGGAACACAGACAGTCCCGTGTTCATATGGACACTGGACTTGATTTTCAAGATTTGAAGACGTTTGTAGACAAGGCTTTGTTTTGCTTAGAAACATGCAAATGGTAACCGATGAGTGGGTCGTTTGGTTCCATTGTTAGCCTGTAATATCTGAAACCTGTCTATGATGCTGATGGTCGGTCATTAAAGGGGGGGGATTGCCGTTAAGGGGGGGATTGTCTCTTGTAATACCTGAAACCTGTCTATGATGCATGTTTCCAAGCGATACAAAGCATTGTCTATATAAAGACTCAAACTCACTGCGGATCCAGACATTTGAATTGAGAAAGCTTCCTGGAGAGAAGGAGAAACGTCTTCAAGTCTTGGAAACCAAGTCCAGTGGATCTAAACAAAGCAAGGGCACCACCAGGGGGTGGCCACGGCCACCCTGGGCTCTGCCCTGGCCACCCTACTGCCACCCCCCCCCCACTGGCCAGTGTAGTAGCTACTAAATTGTAGTAGTATCGGTTTAGCGTTTCACCTTATGCACCCAGCAAAGCAGCCGCTCTCCCTGTCCTTCTGGCACACTGTAGTTTCCTGCTCTCCCCCTCCCCTACCTGATGTTTGCTTGTGCAAATCAGCTACCGGTACAGATGACGCTTGTGCGCTCAGAAAACTACGGCTCAGCCCGTGCCCGCTTTAACGGTGAGAAAGCGTATAAAACCAACAGTAAGTAAATAAGTCAAAACATTTATTTGTGAAAGAAAAGGGGGAAATGTGAACTGGAACATTATAATGTTAAAGCAGCTTTTAGTGTGTTTCTGACTTAGTTATGTAGCTAACTGGGTGAACTGGTGATTGTGGATGGATGGTCAATTTCCAGACATGAAGAGAAAGTCCACAGACATCTCTTCTTAGGAGGAGAAGAGAGAGAAGAAGAAGGAGGAGGGGGAGGAAGAGGAGGAGAAGAATGAGGAGGAGGAGAAGGAGGAGAAGAAGAGAGAGGAGAAGAAGGAGGAGGAGAGCGAGAAGGGGGATGGAGGAGAGAAACAGATCAAGCAGCATGATGAGGACCCAAAGCAGCATTAGTGAAGGACAGTGATGAGGAAAAGCAGGAAACAGCAGCAGACCAGGGACAGTCAGCAGCTTTGATGAAGAAGCCTGGTAGAACTCAGTAGAACTCAGTAGAACTCAGTAGAACTCAGTAGAACTCAGTGAAAGCAGGCGTTCCACCTGTTCCTGGACCGACAGTAGTTTTTTGTTTAAAAAAAATGAATAAATGTGCAACTTATTTCAAATATAAATTAAACACAACTATTGTTCTACTCAAAATGTTACCTGGTCTATGTCTGTGCGCATTCAATAACACTAATAATCACACAATAAGCCAAAAGATACAAGTAGGTGTTTACTTAGATCTGTTTTACCACAGCAGTAGAATAAAACCCTGAAAGTATGTTTCTGTGTGCCACCCCAAGAATTTAAGAGGCCCCATCTGGCCCCCCCTATGAAGCATTTCTAGAGGCGCCCCTGAAACAAAGATTTAATCACGTTTAATGGCTTTAATGACCACAAAACAAAACAGACTAACTGAGAATTTGTACACAAGCATGATTGATTATATGGATTTATTACTACAATGTTTATTTGTTATTTATGTTTTCTTAACTAGTCACTCTGATGATAAAATCTTTACAGCTGATGAAAAAAGCAATGCTTTTTCTCAGAAAAGGTGGTTCCTGATAATACAGCAGAACATCTCATGGAGTCTTTCCAAATGTTGCTTTCATGCTGCGGCCACCAGATGGCACCAAAGCCCCTAACATTTATTTCTAAGTCGAAACATCTAGATAAATATATATATTTGTTTGTTATTGTTAACTTCCTGCAGTAATCGATTTTTGCAAACATTATGTGTTTACGAGTTACATGTTTCTGAGATGTAAAATAATCTGTGCAGCGTTTGGTTTGTCTTCTTTATCTCCACCGGAAACGGTGCAGATTAAGCTGAGGTCTGCAAAGTGCGTCACAGGGCTGAGCTGCAGAGAAGCAAGGCAACAGCTGCAGACCGCCATAGAAACAAACTAGTTTATATTCATAGATCCACGCCGCTTCCGGTCCAGCATGGTGAAGATCGCCTTTAACTCGGCTCTGGCGCACAAAGCGCAGAGCAAAGACGCAGCAGCCGCGGAGAAGGTGAGGCAGCGGAGCCGATCATTCAGCCTGGTAGCTGCAGGCCTGACATCCAGCTGCAGACCCAGCGGCGCTTTGCTGCTTTATCAAACAGGTTACAGCCTTGCTGGCTGAGCGCGTCATGGGGAAGCTGGGACCGCCCACCCTCTGCACAGCTGTTCTGCACATCTGCAAAGCTTCAGCCTGGATGAAAGGCTTGATGTTCTAATGCTTGCTTGCCTTGTGGTGTGTTCAGGATCCAGAGGTGGCCTCTGCTCCAGCGGCCACAGAGGGATCCACGGGCCGCTGTCTGCTCACCCTGCTCGGCATCGCCTTCATTCTGAGTGGGCTCATCGTGGGGGGAGCGTGTCTTTACCGATATTTCACCCCTAAGGTTTGTCTCAGTCATTTTCTCCCTAACATGCATGACTTTTTACATGTTTTCCATTTCAGTCCAGGCAGACATTTCATGTTGATCAGAGTTTTTAGTTTTTACCACATATTATTGTTCACAACAAGCATCTTATTAATGAAATGTCAACTAAAAACCTGATCCTCAAAATGGAGAAAGATCAAACATTCAGAAACTGAATTTTATGGCACTTAAAAGTCTGAACATGAAAGACAAACTAGAGATTTAAAGAAGGCAAATATATTTAACTGATTAAAAGAATGGCTGATATTGAATATAAGAAATCCTGTAAGAACAAATGAGCATAAAACTACCAAGGTTTCAAAAGTGACATTAAAACTGTGTTTTTCTTTTTATATTTAAAACCTTTTAAACTATTATGACATAAAATGGATGAGTAACTAGACAGCTAAAGGTTCTCCTGCTCTTCTAATGACATTCACAGCTGCCAATGAAGCAATAATTAAATGTCTGTATGGAAAACTGAAGCCACATTTAATTGAAGCTTCTGTTCAGCTAAAATCTCCAGTAATATAATAAATGCATGTAATTATTCTAAACAATATCTTTTTGATATTGTTGAGTCAGTTCTGCTGCTTGAAGCTTATTCTCATATTTCCTTTGGCTGCTGATATGAGACTGGCAGGTTCCTGCCTGACTCTGTATCTAAATGCTGAACATAGGGACTTAGACTAAGACTTAGACTTAGACTGATAAGTCCCGTCTCTATAATCCATCCAAGTTTTGAGATAAAAAATTTCATTTCTTTATGTTTTTGCAGCACAAATGAAATCAATGTTATTCTGTCTCAGTCCAGGAACACTCGTTTCTTTCTACGTTTTTCTTTACTGCAAAAAAAATGGACACATCTAAAATTTAAATTTGAAAGGGGTTTATCTGGACTTATTTTTACCGTAATCATTGTGTTGACTAAATATGTGGGTTAATAACTATAGGCTGAAACCTGCATGGGATGGGATTTTTCCCCTTGCATGTTTAACCAGCAGGATGGCCTGAACTCTGTCCCTGAAGGTTTGAATCACTTCGCTTTGAGCTGATTCACCTGCCAGCTTCCCCAGAGACGTGCAAACACAGCTCAGTTTTAGTGAGTTTAGTTTTTGGCAGCCAGTCATGATGCTGATAAAAACACCCTAACATTGATGGAAAGCAGGAATTCTGATCCTAAACATAACCACCGTCTGTCTCCAAAGTGCTGCAGTTTGACTCTGGCTTTGGCCACTTTGAGTGTAAAAGTATAATCCAGCCTAACCTGTAGCTCCAGTCAAACCTTGGGACAAAACTGGATATTTTAAAACAAACTTTCCCTAACAATTTAATATAGACCATAGTGGGGTGGAACTGCAGACATGGCTGCTTTTCTCAGTAGGTGGGGATATGGGCAGACATGCTCAGTCTCTGCATGAGGAATAAACAAATAATAATATATAATATAAATAAGTGTAAATACATTTCACCTTTTGACATAATTTCTTTAGAAATGTTTGCCTGTCACTGGCTGTCATCACTTATGCCTCATGGCTTGAATTATGTACTTCCAAGTAGATGTAGATACCACTGACCGACCAAACACCGACGCTGGGTTCGAATCCGGCGGCTGCGTCCTCTGAAGATCCGATTGGTCGGCCGATTACGTCATAGCATTCAGGTTGGAGGCGTCAAATGCAGCCTTGTTTTCACCCAGTTGGAAGGACAGCTCCACTGTATCCTTCATAGCCTAAGTTGTACGATGATTCATCATGAGTCCTAGCAAGGAAAACTGGAAATGGTGAAAAACAGTGGTGAATCTTGGAAGCACAGTTTGATAATATCTGAGACGACGTTACTGCTGCTGAAGCTTCTCAGATATGTAATCAGCACTCAGATCAGCAATGTGCAGTTCAGCATCCATTCTTTGCCTGCTTTGTCAGTTGTCATGGTGCTAGGTGACAGAGCTTACGCTGAGTGAGGGGCCATGACAGCTAAAGATTAGATTAGATTAGATTAGATTAGATTAGATGAGCTTTATTGATCTCACAGTGGAGAAATTCACTTGTCACATATTGGCATAGAAGTCAAAGAAGGTGCAAACAAGGAGGAAAAAGGTGCATTAAGAATAAACAATAAACAATATATATACAGTATATCCAGGTATATACAGTATATCAAGATAAATAAGGATTAAGGTGCAAGTGTACATGTATCGCACACGATGAAAAACAAAATAAAAATATAAACTAAGGAAATAAGAAATAAAAATATGTACAGTCCGGATGGCTTATATACAGAAAACTGGACCTTTTTTAATAGTTAGCCAACCTCTTCCGGCCTCCTTATTTTCAAGGGCCTCTGAAGGAGCCAGTCCAGGTAGACTGCCGGGTCCTTCCAAGGACTCCTTAGAAGGACCCCCAGGTCCTTGGAGGGAACTTGAAGGACATGGTGGTCCTTTGGAGGACCGCCGGGTTCTCGAAGGACCCCCAGGTCTTTGGAGGCTGCATCCGCTGAAACAGAACACACAGCTGTCTATTAAAGCACAATTCTATCATAAAGACACAAAGATTATCCCCTCTCTAAATGACCTGTCAAAAGTGCGAAATTAAATCAATAACATCCTCCACACGCAGCTGGCATCATGGGACCAGACAGCAAGCTTCCTCAGTCACTTAGTGGCACTAGAGTCCATCAGCACTTTTACAATAAAAGCTGTTTAATGTTGGTGCCTTTGAAATTATTATTGTAGATAGCAAGGTGTTGATCGACAAAAAAATAACTAGTAATTGTCAATATTGTGTTCAGGTTTGGGATTTTATGGTTTGATATTATTAAACTCAATCATTGAAAGGTGGTAGGTGCAGGCCTGCCATTGGTTTTCCAGCTGCTGCTCAGAAAGATGGCGATTGCTCCATCAGACGCTCTGGAACGAGTTCCCTCCCTTTGTGAGGCTGTTGCTGCTTCCTTTGGGCAGAAGCTGCTACATGCGTATTGAAGAATGTCCCACAGTCTGAGTGTCCAGGAAGGCAGCTGAAATATACTCCAGATAAGAAAAGATTCTGGCCTCAGGCTTTAGGCCAAGACCAAAAGTAGCAAAATAGTAATAAGATATAGGCTGTAGCTTAAGAGAGCATTAATATCCATCATGAAATAAATCCTGGACTGGGCTGACAGCCCACAGCAGTCCAGGATGCCACTCAGAGAGGAAGAAGTCATGACTGTACTGGAGATTCTCTATGGAGTCATTGAAGATCACATTTAAAGCAAAGCTTCATCACATATCATTGGTGTTGGTCATCATCTGGATCTACACCTCCTGCTCCTGTCTTTGCTTAACAATGCTGTCAATGATTGATCTAACCCCCCCTTCCACCACCAGAGGCTGTATCATGGTGCCATGCAGTTTACTGACATGTCCACCGTGGCAGAGAGCCAGCCGTACTACCTGCCACGGGTGGAGGAGGAGGTGGAGATCTCGGACAGCATGGCCGTCATCAGCGTGCCTCCCCCGCGCTTTCGACCTGGAGACCCCGCCTACATCCTCCATGACTTCAACAGGGTGAGAAGCTGTGGTTGGGTTGGTGTTTGTGGGTTCTGTGCTCAGCTTGTGTTCTGATGCGTTTGTTTGGGATGCAGAAGCTGACGGCGTACCTAGATCTGACTCTCAGGACCTGCTTTGTGATTCCTCTCAACACCTCGGTGGTCCTGCCCCCCCAGGACCTCATTGACCTCTTCTCACAGCTGATGGTGAGTTCTGTCCTCAGTGATGCTCCAGTCATGATGAAGTGAAAAGGAGTCAGTTTGGCCTGAATGTAAGGATGGATACCAGAAAACAATTGGTTAGGGTTAACCAACCTAGATTGTAATGCTTTTTAGTTTTGATTGAAAAAGTAGAGGCAAAACGAACAAATCATAAACTTTTTCAAAACTTTAACTTTTCTTTAGGTAAAGAAAATTTTACAACAATCCAGTTTGTTTGTAATTAAGACTATAAGAATGTAAGATCCTTTCCCAATGCGTGGCCGCTCCCTCACCTTAGCCGCTCCTGACTCCATGGTTGGACATTTTTAGTCCCGTCTGAAACAAGTGGCTCATTCCCTCCCAAGCAGCGCCTAACTGGAGGACGGGACGTATGAACATCACATTCACTGTGGAAAAATATCATTTTTCATAGCAATAGAAACCATTTTGTCAAAGCTGCAATTCTATTCAGTTTATTTCTATAGCTCCAATTCACATCATGTCATCTCAGGTCACTTTACAGTTCAACCAGATCATCCAGTCAGATTGATTCAAAGTTTTCTATCTAAGGAAAACCAGCTGATTGCATCGACTCATTGACTCTTCAGCAATCCCTCACACTAAGCATGCTTGTAGCGACAGTGGAGAGGAAAAACTCCCTTTGAACAGGAAGAAACCTCCAGCAGAACCAGGCTCAGTGTGAGCGGCCATCTGCTGAGGCCCACTGGGGTTCATGGAGACAGAAGCAGACATAGAAAAAGAAGCATAGATGCAAAAGGCAACTGTCAACCAGCTCCCATGTCATCCTCTGACATGGGAGCTGTTTAGGGGCCAGTTTCGGATTCAGCCCACGTTTGTTGTAAAAACTACACTTTCCTTTTAAATAACTTTTTAAAGTTATGTTTCCTCCGACAGTTTTTAAAACATATTGATCCTAAAACTAGTTAGCAGGAACAGTGGTACCCATTAGAAGTTGCAAGCTGCATAGTTTCATGTTTACTTTAAAACATTGTATGGAATAATTTGGTCGGTCTTGGTACCTAAAAGGAAAATCTGAATCTAGCAAGAAATGCTAATTGGTCTCCAATCTTATCTCTAAATTAAATAATGAGTTAACAGATTTTTTCAGGCTGTTTAGTTTTCATCCTTAATTATATTTTACTTTTTGGTTATTTCTTTCTAAATAGCAAACTGAAGGTCTATGAGACCATAAACATGACTTGCAGTATTTCACATAATAGAACATTTCTCAGATCATGATTATAAGGTAGAATCAGCCCACAGCTGCAGATCTAATATAAAACCAAATGAAAAAAGGCTAAAGGCTTATTTGTTAAATAACTATTCAAATTTTTTTATGGACTCAGAAAGTTGCAGGTTTCTCCATTTAGGATTAGCCTAGTTATAATGTTTACCTACGCCTCCTAAAAATAGATTTCTAGAAAATTGGACGGGAAATGGAACAAGATGCTAACAGCACAACTGACTTTTTGTTGAAACTGTTTATGGATCTTCCTCTTTCTGAGACTTCTTTAGTAGCGAGTCATTGCTTTACACATTTACTGTGTTTTAAAAGCTGGATCTTTAAATATAAGATGCAATTCTCAAATTCAAACTGTTAAAAGTGTTTTTTGCAAATTTTTTTTTAGATTTGGGCAAAGTGGGAAACAGTTAATCAAGAACCTCTTAGAGGAAGCACCAATGCTGTATGAATGCAGCTCTGCTTAAAAAGGAAACTGTATATTTATAGTTCACTGTTCTCCAAACAGATGATTTTTTAAAATTATTTTCCTCATTTGTTCTTTTTCTCTGTACTTCAGTCTGACTCATACCGCAGCTACCTGGTGCATGAGGACCTTGTGGTCACCGAGCGCATTGAGGATGTCAAGCCACTAGGTTTCTATATTCGTCGACTGTGCGATGGAAAGGAAACGTACAGAATGCAGCGCCGATCCAGCCTGCCAGGTATTCAATTGTTCTGTAGGTCTCCTGAACATAAAGTTACAACAACAACAAATCATTGATGAGAGAATGTCCCGACCACTCTACCAACTTCACCTTAAGGCGTTTTGCAGATGTAATGGTGACTTGTAGAAAATAGAGACCCTTAAAACCTTCCCACAGCTGATAAAACTTCACTCTGTTTTATTTGTAAACCATTGCTTCAGCAATCAGCCCACTTGGTAGTGAGACAAGTAGTTGTGATCCTTAAAATCTGGCATTTGTGGAAGAGAGTGTGTTAGTCCCATTACAGAGGATGGAGGAAGAGTCTGTGGTCAAATGGATGTTTCTAACATCCTGCTAGGCGCCCGCGTCCCTCACAGGGAAACGAGTCAGAAAAGAGTCAGGCCAAAGTTATTGCAGTGATCTTTTAGTTAGGTCCTGGTAAAACCCTGACTGTGAATAAACATTTAAAAACCTTGGAATCCTTCAAGGTTTTTAAATGTGAAAAATTAAGTGCAAGGCCTGGAAAGTGACGAAAACGGCCATAACAAAACGGTCATCCTCTGAAGGCCTTGAATGGTTTGGATGTTTCTTTGACCACTTGGTGTTTCCTGAACGTAATGTGGGCAGAACTGGACACGCTTTGGTGGAAACTTATCTTCTCACTGGCCAATTAGTAAAGAGCCAGTCACGTTAAAGAAGTCCTGAAGTTGGGCCCTCATACTGTGCCAGGAAGATGCAGCCTGATTGCATGGCTTGCTATGTCTGGCTGTCAAATGGCAGACAACAATGAATATTCAGATTTTTATCAGTGGTCGGAGATCATGTTTATCATTATAAGAAGTATTTTGCAACACATTTGCAGAGGAGCTTTAATGCACCAACAACGCCCTATCAATAAACATATACAATTTTGGTGAGGTACTGTTCAATTCAATTCATTTCAGTTTATTTATATAGCGCCACATCACAACACAGGTCATCTCAAGGCACTTTACAGTTCAACCAGATCATCCAGTAAGATTGATTCAAAGTTTTCTATCTAAGGAAAACCAGCTGATTGCATCGACTCATTGACTCTTCAGCAATCCCTCACACTAAGCATG